AGTTTAAATTTGCCAGTTAAGAAGAGTTTAGTATGTCGATTATTTTCATGCACCCCCAAGTTTAAATTTGCCAGTTAAGAAGAGTTTAGTATGTCGATTATTTTCATGCACCCCCAAGTTTAAATTTGCCAGTTAAGAAGAGTTTAGTATGTCGATTATTTTCATGCACCCCCAAGTTTAAATTTGCCAGTTAAGAAGAGTTTAGTATGTCGATTATTTTTCATGCACCCCCAAGTTTAAATTTGTCAGTTAAGAAGAGTTTAGTATGTCGATTATTTTCATGCACCCCCAAGTTTAAATTTGTCAGTTAAGAAGAGTTTAGTATGTCGATTATTTTCATGCACCATCAGATTCCTCTTCAAAATATTTTCGCAGATGATTTATCTAAACGGGTCATTTATCAATTAAGCAAACTAGATTAGGTTTCTGTGAGATGTAAAATTCGTAGCCTAAATACAGCCACAAGTATAAATGTTTGTCGCCATCTTTTCGACGTTTAGAATTTTTCGCGCCGAATCATGGAAACGTTCCATAGGTCTGATTTATGAAATAAGCACTTTTGAGAACATAATACCAGCCATCTTTTTTCGTAACACTTAAGTGCGAAAAGTGTTAAAGTACATAATTGAACGTGGACTATTTATTAAAATTAGATTTTAATGATTACGTAAATGAATATATTAACACCATGAATTACCATGTACTCGACGAAACTATAAATACTGTTATTAATTTAAACTTTCACATTTATTGTTATTATCATCATCAAATCTGTCAAGGAAACAAGATAATAGTAAATTTTAATTCACACTTGCACAGAATTACCATATAAAACAGTTTACAGTTCATAACATGATTCGCTTGAGATTAATACAATATTTAAATTCGATGTTAACATTAGAACACTTAAGTTTCTAAGCTAATATTTAAACATTTATAAAATTAACAAAAAACAATTTTTGCGCTAAATATAGTAAATAACAGCGCCCCCTAATGACGAGTAAGTGTTGAACGTGAAGGGTAGATAGATGGGGGCAAGATAAACGATCTACAATATTATGGGTTAGGTAATTTTTCAAGAACATCTATTGCAGCAGAGGTTAGCATGACGTCTGAATAAATTAGAATAAACATCAAGAAGAGAAAGTTAGCTTCAGAAGCTCCTTAATTGTGCAATACACGTAATTAAAGAGAGGCAGTTTCTGGTTCTTTACAGACGCCCATTGGATTCTTGCCATTTACCTTTTTCTTCTCAAGAGAAGTCCCTTCAAAATGGCATACAAGTCCTTCTCCACACATACAAGTTTCTTTACATCTCTGACCTAGGCCTAACTTAACCTTTTGACATCTGGGTGCTTTCTCCTTCTTACTCTGGCAACATAATCCTAATAAATAGGTAATACAAGTAGCATGTTAAAAAAAGAGATTGTGACAACTTTATATTAACAAAGTAGTTTAAGTCATACATGATTGATAATTAAAGAACCACAGCTTTAATGGTTGATGGCTTCTCTGACGCAGTTTCTGCAAAATTAGTTACATTCTAAATTAACAGCGTTACAAGGTGGCTTACTTATATTTCGCGATGTCCATAATGTAAGCCAAGAATTTTGCCTACAAGAGACAGAAACTAAGTTGTGTCACATACTTATTTTTCCTTGTGATTGGAATCCTCTGTAGGCTCATTTGTACAATTTTACTTGGGTTATGGTCAATTTGACGTCACAGCCGTTTAAACGTAGACGACGTATTTCAGATGGAATCTTCAATAGCCACGGCTATAATTAGATCTGAAATCTATCAAGAGATGGAGCTACGAGCTAAAAAGTTTGTATTTAGGGGAAATCAGCCATTCTGAACCGCAGCTAAGAAACTTGAACCATCAGTATGTTAGTTGAAGTTACGAGTTCAGTAACATTAAAGAGGGGTGGTTGTTTTGAGAAGAAAAACGAAACTGACATTTATTGAAGTATCAATAGTCTTAACTAATCAATTAAACTTGATTCGAATGTATAACATACAAAAAAGTAACAACCGAACGAAGATACAGTAATCTTAGCACCTCACATATCAAGTAAATGAATCATAACGTTGCTCACTAGACATTTAATGGTTACACATTAAAGGACATAATCCAATGAAATTACGATACTTTCGTTGTAGAATTATTTTAACACGTTGCTTACCAAGGAGAGGAAAACTTACCAAGGATCGTATCATTTGTACCAAATAAAGCCCAATCCAGATGTTAGAAGTTTACAGAAGTGTTGCAAATGAAGCTTCTTCTGCATTCCACTCATGCTACGTCCTCAAGCAAATCAAATTGTAGAAATCCAAAACTTTTAAGACAATATTAGAGCAACAGTCACACCAAAAGCCAGTTAACTGTTGTACCACTTAAAGCACAACCCAAGCACTTGTTATGCACGATATCGTATTTGACAGCCAAATTCTGCAAGAATCACTTGGACAAAAAAGTTCTTACCCAACACTTACCAGATAATAGATGAAAAGATCTAATCCAATCGTAGTAGGTATTTAGGTTTAATTACCCAGGGGTGGTTAGAAATTCAAGTTCTCTTCGCCCCCCTCCCTTTCACTTCTAGACAATACTAGAGATTTGTGGTGGTTGAAGTTCGGGGAATTTGGTTGCTGTGGTCAAGCGAGAGGAAAGGCCAAGAAGACTGGAAGAGAGTTTGTTCAAGCGAGAGGAAAGGCCAAGAAGACTGGAAGCGCGTTTGGTCAAGCGAGAGGAAAGGCCAAGAAGACTGGAAGCGCGTTTGGTCAAGCGAGAGGAAAGGCCAAGAAGACTGGAAGCGCGTTTGCTTTCTTCTGGTAGCTCTGGAGTACATATTCTATTTTCTGTATACGCATGTTATTTAAAAATAGATTAGCAGCATCGTTGTTACCTTAATGTCCAAAGATTCTATTGGGCAAATGATTGGTACGAGGTATCATTAGATGTAAATTATTGGCGGCTGATACAACTAACTTCAAAATCCAGAAATAAATTGCTTACAAAGCAGAAGCAAGTGTATTGCTTTTTCACATCAAAGGTTTTTTGTTTTTAAATCCAGAACTATAAACAACTGTTTTTAATAGACCATTATTGAGCTTAATGAGAATTACCAAAGTTTCCAACAAACTTCACGTGGGTACTTCTCAAAGACGACATTACTTAAGTGGACTTGAGAACTCGCCATATCTGAGACATCGGTATGTAATCCAACGTTTTCCCCTCCTCTGCACGTGTTCTCCAAAACATCGGTGACGTTCGCCCTATTAAAAGTGGTAAACTCTCATCTTTTCAACAAGCACTAAACCGTGGTTATGGTCTTGTGTCGTTTCTGGGACTTGGTGCGTCGGTTCTCTGGGAGCGGGCGCTGGCTGTCTGTCTCTGCTCGTGACCCGTTTATCTCGTATGTTAGACTTGAATCTTTACTTCCATCTAGGGAGTAGTAGTATGTACCAGCAGCGGGCACTTGTCAAACCTTAAATGGGTCCACTGCGTCAGTCACTGGTCCAACTCTTGCTGATGATCAAAACAATGTTACTCGCATACTCCAAAGTAATGCTTAAGACACCACCGGATACAAACACGTGACATGGCTCTTGTGAAAAAATAATCAAGAATGAACTGGATCTTATGAACTGGGTGTGAAACCCAACTGCTATTATTTCTGCAGAAGGGGTATAAACCAAGAGGTGTAAATAATCTTCGTTTAATATAAAATAAAGGATATAAGCTGTAATCTTGTCCCTTCGTCATTTAAAGAGGCGTTTAGTGGATTTACATGAACAAACGTCAAAATTAACTTGTCTCCTCCTGAACACTCACCTGGTTGGCAGTCATTGCTAGAGGTACAAGATTTTACAACTTTCTCTACTGGTGCTTCATTCTTTTGGGTTTCAGTAAATTAACTGGTCTCCTCCTGAACACTCACTCACCTGGTTGGCAGTCATTGCTAGAGGTACAAGATTTTACAACTTTCTCTACTGGTGATTCATTCTTTTGGGTTTCAGTTGAAGATTCCATTTTCTCTCCTTCGGTTTGCTCCGGTTTCACAAGAACTTTCGGGGTTTCAGTTTCGTTTTTTCCATCTTCTGGAGATATTGTCTTTGATCTAGTTAAAGCTGGCTTCTCTTTTTCTTTCTGGTACTTTGAATCTTTTACCTTTACCTATAGAAGATAGGTAGAGGTCTGAAACGTTTGTCAAGTTATTGGTAACATTTCAACAACCTGCCCCACATCATTTAGAATTTTCCCACTGCATTTTACTAGTCTTTCTTTAAATGACAACGAGTTTTAACAGTCGTTCGCTACCTAACATTAATCCAAAGCATTGCTTCAACAACAGTATACAGTCTCGTTTTAGTAGTTAAAAAGAAAATGTTAAAAGTTTATAAATGAAATGATACGACTGAATACGGGTTAAAATGTGTTCCTAAACGTTGCGAAGATAGTGTGCGAGTATTAGCTATTCTGGGTTAGATTATATTTTCACGGCTTTTAAGTTTCAAACTAATGTTGCCTGTGAAATATTATGACAGTATAACTATACAGAATCGACGTTAGTTTGAGTTTCTTGGGGGCGGGGGAGAATTACAATATTTTTTGTAAGGGGTACATGTTATTTAGAAGAGGGTCATTTATAATTTAAATTAAAATCTCAAATTTATCCTGAACAACTTACGCAAAGTGCTAAAAATGACCAGATCAGAGGGTTTTTAGGATTCATATATAGAAGTTTATTTATTTTTAGTTACTAGCCAAAGACCTGGCAGTTTTTTTTTCTTTTTTTCTTTAATATAACCTTACCGAAATGAATACAAGCGAAACTTGACGTTTTTACAATTACATCGAACAAAAGTTAATTACATTGGCAAGTCCTCGGTACTGTTTGTTTTGAATTTCGCGCAAAGCTACACGAGGGCTATCTGCGCTAGCCGTCCCTAATTTAGCAGTGCGAGACCAGAGGGAAGGCAGCTAGTCATCATCACCCACTGCCAACTCTTGGGCTACTCTTTTACCAACGAATAGTGAGATTGACCGTCACATTATAACGCCCCCACGGCTGAAAGGGCGAGCATGTTTGGTGGGATGGGGATTCGAACCCGCGACCCGCAGATTTCGAGTCGAGTACCCTAACCACCTGGCCATACCGGGCACCTCGGTACTGAAGAGTTTTACTTTCTGGCTAAACTAGCCAGTTCAGCATTACTACGAGTAATCCCCGGATTTACTTTCGAAGTATGAACAGTTAGATATTTTAATTGGTTTTAATGTTTAACTATTTGATGTATTAATAATAATGCTTAAGCAATATTAATCGAATTCCGTTTAAGATTAGAAGTAGCCTGGACATTAGTCTTCGCAATACAAGTAATCAAAGGATTTGACTTACTCAGCAATTTAGATAAACTTGTATTAAAACGTCCAGTGTTTGTACTCAAAACGTAGTTTATTATTAAATAACCGATGTAAAAAAGTTAAAAACTTGCGATTGACCTAATAAATAATCCAGAGTAAAGAATTTAACTTATCAATAGGCAGAGAGTAGAACTGAAATCTGATTACGATAAGATAAACATCAATTTCTGGTTGTTTCCCCCCATAACTGGACATTAAGAACATTCAAATTATTCCAAGATAACCAATGCTAAAACAGCGTAAAAAGAAAAATACTAACCTCTACTGTTGGGCCCTTTACTTTCTTGGTCAATTTAACTGAAAAACAAGGAAGATTACGTCAGTATTCAAGTGTGACGATCTTAAAGTTTAACATTCATATTTTACAATTATTTTAGTTAAAAAAACAACAACACGTACATCAATATTCAAAACATCACTAACAGAGAATTCAAACTTCAGACCTTCGATAGAGTATTTATACGCCACGCAGAAAAAAAACGCAACCAATTTCTAGTGCACGAACCACTACTTCAGTGTTTCAAATTGAGGAAAAAAAATACGTTTTACAACCAAGTCATTTTTGTAAAGCATGTATGAATTTGTTGTAAATCTGCATATTTTACATATTCACTCACAACACGAGAAATTGATTTGAAAACTATAGTTTATATAGCGCATACGTTGACTTTAGATTTAAAGTGTGTTATTTTGCGGTGCCGTCTTTCTGTACATTAATCAACCTTGACAGAACATCGGGAGACTTGTCTTCCTAATTACTTCCACGCTAATGACTGAAGCTAGGATGAAATGCAAACATTTGCAAGTAACAAGTTATAAACTATTAGAACCTGGAAAGGTTGAAGTTTAAAACCCTGTTGTGTAGCAGCTGAATTACCGAACATTTTGGTAAACAGAAGAGCAAGCTATTCACTTAATACAGAAAATGCGGCTTAACTGTATATTGAAGACTAAGTGTTGCCAGAAGACTTTGCAGAGGGAAGATTACGTTGCCAAAAAGTATAACTTCGGAAACGTAGCTTGTGGTTAAAGTCAGTTGAAGCAGGTTTCATTAACGATGTAGCAGAGACTAAGATTAACCAAGTTCTAAGTCTGTGGCTATACTTATTCCAGTTTTATAGAACGTACATTATCCATCACTTGCCACACAGGATTGAGAAGATACGTACCGAAACAGTACTATTTTCTTTGGCCAGTTTAAGAGTTTAGGTTTTAAATTCTGACAATAGATGCCACTACAATTGGCACAACTTCACAACAATTATAGAATGTAGTACTATTTAACCTAATTATTTCCCGCTTTTCTATTTAAGTATCTTTGTTGTAAAAGGATCATTATCCAAAGTGGAGTTGGTCCCCCTCCCCACACCTAGTTTTCTACAAGGTTAATGATGTGTTCGCTGTCAAAGGATCATTATCCAAAGGGGAGTTTGCCCCCTCCCCCCCACACACACACCTAGTTTTCTACAAGGTTAATGATGTGTTTGGTTTTCCAACTTGTATTAAAATTGAGATAACCTTAGAATTACTGGATTTCTTTTAAAACAGTTTCTAGAAATATGCAAGCACCAATTTCTCTGTAGGTCCATGACTATTGGTTACAGGGCCTATAGTTACATACGAGTCGCATGTACACTTACCAACAATAAAACAGATTTACAACCACAGCAGTTAATCCAACCAAATATATCTTATAGAAAATTGGTGGTATCATTGGTAGTTAACAGAAAAGCAATTACTCAGTGGACCAACCGGTAATGAACGATATAAAAACAAGGCTGGAATTCAAGGGAAGAAAAAAAAACAGGTTAACCGTTATTTGGATAATACAATGTAATCATGGTGCATCATGTACAATATAGTACACTCGACAAAACAGAGTACAGGTTCACTATCACTAATCCGGCATCATCGGGACCTGGAGGGTGCCGGATCAGCCATCTATTAGGTCAGAATACACCAAACTCACTAGCTAACCACCTCATCTTAAAATTAAAATATCCCGGGGTTTTCTTTAAGTTTTAATCAAAGAAAACATTGGAAAGAAAACTTTCAAGCGAGACTAAAGTATTTACCTAATAGCGCGTATCTTGCTTTACTGTATTTGAAATTGTTCTAGCCGAAATTAGTGCCGGATTACTGATTGCCGGACTAGTGATGGTCAACCTGTATATACTATGTAGTAGACTTCCGTTTAATACTGTCCTAGCATTACCAGATCCATGAAACTGGTGAAATAAGACTAAATCAATTTGATGCTTGGTAAATTTATTTTAGTGTAAAGATAAGAGTTACAGACGGATGTAAAGTCATGGATATACAACGGCACAGAACTGTTAAAACAAAGCACGAGACTTAATGGAAGTTAGTTTTGAAAGTTATTTCAAGTAGATATTTTATCTAGCGTATTTGATATTATTCATACTGAAGGACTATAATACCGGATTTGGCCATTATTGAAATTGAAGTGTTATCCTAGAAAACAGGTTATTTACTACGTTGCTATGACTGGAATTGAAACTCAAAACAATTCACGAAATGATTGAAATTTTATTACTGCAGTTTCTTAAAAAAAAAGTGTATAGCAGTAAGAGGGCGCTTTTTTTAAAGTGGTTGTTTAGAAAGCTGTGGTTTAACGGGAAAATATTAACTACATGGCACGTGGTATTTTCCTAGTCATCTTTTATACCGAGTACGATTTCTAACGCAGTATGGAAACCAAAAAAGATGCTTCTATGGTATTATCAATAATGCTTATAAGTCTAAAATAAAACTTAAGATTTCACTGTACTAAGAAATAAGAGGGGAGTAGAAACATGTTCTATGCAAACCCATAATTATTTAAAACTTAACCACCAATAGAGGAGCAGCTTATTACTTGAGGCCATGTTCCCAATTAAAAGTTCCCCCCTCCGATATTTGTCCCATTGCGCCCAATTAAGTTGTTGGAGAACAGTTTGATAAGGCTTATTTATTTGTATTTAATGTTTAAATACGTAACAAGCTTGTTATTATGGAAAGCTGAATTTTCTTCCCCAAGCGGCATTTAGTGTTTATTAAACTCGTAAAACGCCAATAACACCGTTTGACCAGAAAGTCACTAGCCAGGAATAAAATTAAGCGGCCTTCGGCAAATAACGTGTAATTGAGCACTAGGGACGGAGAACAAAAGCTTCCTGCTTATAAGGTATGTATTACAACTGACGTACCAAGATTAATTTTATTAAGTTTCAAAGTTTTATCTGGCAGTTTCAGAAAGAATTTTCAATTCTGTTTCTTGTTATGAAAAATATATTATCCCTCAAATAATAACTTATTGTCCACTACCGGTGGAGTCCATGTTGTATAATATCTAGTAACGTTTAAATTTTGCATTCAGTGGAAAGAAGTGACAAAATAAAATTGGGTCCTTTACATAAACATTATCTTTTTTTTTCAGGTTCAGCATGAGAAGTATAAGAAGGAAAACAAAACTCCCAAGAACAATGAAAGGAAGTATGAAAAAGGTACGTTAGAGCCAAATTTTCATTGAATTCCACGTCCAGGTTACTAGTTTGTTTTTTTTAATAAATTTCATATTCATAAAAACTTCACCATCAAATGATAAATATTGAGTCTTAAAATACGGAACGCTTTTCAGCGAACTGTTAACGTATAGTTGCGTAGGTGTGTCAGGCCCTCTATTAGGGTTAATGAAGCGGAACTGTCACAGTATCGGTCTGTTAACTTACGAATGAAAAAATTCTAAATATCTTAATTCATGTTTAAAGTACATAAAACGGAAAAAGATGAGAGATGTATACAATTGAATTATATACATTATTTTTTTTTACTTTAGATAAGGTCTAAGGACATTGAGACGCCAAAAATTAAGTTATCCATTTGAGAATGTGTCAAATTTAATATAAAAGTAACAAAATTTAGAAAGTTTCTTTTTCAACCCCTTTGAGCGAAAAAAGTTTCGGGGGGGGGGGGAGGAGGAATGACCTGTACCTTTCAACCGAAAGTAACCATTTCAAAAAAAGAAATAGTTTGACAGAATAAACAAATTTAAATACAAGGCGAGCCATGCTACTGATTGGTCATTTATGATGTAATACTTTAAGTAAACATGTTAGCGCACGTTTTTCTAACATTAACCCAAATCACGGAATATGCTACTGTGCGATGTCAAAACTCCACAGGCCTCAAAATTAACAAGATAATCCAAAAAGGAGAAGTTAACCGGTAAATCCTATAGTATAATAAAAAGTGCAAAAGTCTGGCTTATTACGTATACTTAACGTATATACTGCAAGGCAGTAGAATTTGATGGAAAAATAAAAAGGGGGTGGGAAACAGAAGGAGAGATAATAAAAGTTACATAATTGTTGTTTTGTGAAATTGATGTAAGGAACAAGAAGCTGCATTCAGAGAGAGATTTAAAAAATAGCAATAATTCAAAGAGGCGTCTTAAGTAAGAAAACCCAGCAGGAATGGAACTGTTCCTCCTTCCCAAACTAACAGATCAATACAGATGCATTCTTGCTCGTACGTAGGAACGTTACGGCGGATCTAATCTTGCAGGAGCTCAGTGATGACGAGAGTACTCAACATCAAATTGGAGTAAAGACAAAAAGGTGGTGTAACTATTGTAGAGAAGTTTAAGTGCTTAATAACAGCACCAGAGGGAATGCACATTGAAGCTGCTTTATTTGGGGGGGGGGATCTTATGCCGGTTCAAGTAGCTATGAATAAAATATGAAAGTTATTGAACAGGCTGCGAATACGGAATTATTTTCGAATGTACTTAAATACCAGTGATAAGGTGCATCTATTTTTTAAAAAAAGAAAGACTTGACATGATAGTTAACTAGTACACAAGCTCAGATTTATAGGGTAAAGTTTACGAAAGTTAACCATTTCACAAGTTTATATTATCTTAAATATAAAAACTGAAGTTACGATAAAATAGTTTTCAGCGATCATGGGTGCCAAGGTTTCTTCACGCACATACTTTGAAAATAACGTAGTAATACAGCGTGAGAACGCGGGCACGTCCGCGAATGACGTCCTATTTCTGCAAGATCTTAGAAAATAACATTATCCTAAATTATTGATTAGAAGGTTACTAATGAGGGTTTAAATACAAGAATACACCGAAAACTAAGCCTTTTGCAATGGTTAATGATCTTTAACAAGTACATGATAGGTACAAGTTTAAGAAATAGGTAAAAAGTGCGCGAGAAGTCCAGTGGCGAAAGTTATATACAAGCATGGAAAATGATGAACTACTTCCCTGGGCGCGCGCGCACACACACACACACACACACACACACAAACGAGATA